GGAGGAGGAAGAGATGATGACCTTCTCTGTAGGGTTGGGGGCCTTAGAGGGATCAGCTGGCCACAGCCTTGGATCACAGCTAATAGAAATAGAGCACTAGAATAGTGAAGAAAAAGACTCCTTATAAGCTATTCTCATGCCCTGGCCCCTGCCATTGAGCTGTGTTACCAGTCAGCTCCTCCTTCTGACATCATTCATTGGCTGAGCAAGTGTGATGGTCAAAGCACAGCCCAATGACTGTGCAAGCCCAATGAGTTTCCAGGGCTTTATCCATGCACTCCCGCTAGCCAGGGAGGTCATAGCCCCTAACAGACAGCTTGCATTTCCAGAATCCTAGCTTTACTGATGAAAATGTCCTTAGCACCTGCTGCCAGTCCCCCAGGCTTAACCTGAAAAAGTAAAAATATCATTAATCTGTCTTTCCAAGTATCCTCTTACACCCACCCAACTTGAATTCACCTTTTGATTTGAGCTATGAGCTTGTGATAAAACCCAATCAAGAGACGGGCTGTGAGAAAAATACACCAATCTACCTACAGGGCATATCGTACTGTAGTGTGCTTTTCAATGAATTTTATTTTTCTGCATTTCTGCTTCTATTTTGCAAATATTGATAATGACACTCACTCTTTTAAGATTGGAAAATACAGCCCTAGCCAGTTTGACTCAGTGGACAGAGCATCCATCAGCCCATTGACTGAAGAGTCCTGGGTTCAATTCTGGTCAAGACCTTGGTTGCAGGCTCCAACCTACACAGGGCTCCTGTGGGAGGCAACCAATCAATGTGTCTCTCGTATTGATGTTTCTCTCTCTCTCTCCCTCTCCCCCTCCCACTCACTCTAAAAATCAATGGAAAAATGTTCTCGGATGATTTTTTCCAGCATATATCTGAATTGGGGACCTCTGTAGCAGTGAGTCAAGTACACCATGTTTATTATAGTCTTCATTTGGGCCCTGACATATAAGTAAATCTGCTGCCATTGCCATTTTTTTGATGTATGCAAAAATCTCAGAAATAAAACAAAGGTGCTCTCAACATTGCAATGTTATGGCTAAAAGCAATCAGCTGCTTCCTGATTTTGTATAAATCCTAACAACCTAAAAATCCAAACATTTGTAATTGGTTATGGGTTTTAAGATCTTTACATTTATAGATATGGTGTGTGTGTGTTGGGGGGGGGGGATTGTTAAGCAGTGATAAAAGCAAAATACTAAACTACATATGGTGGGATTTGGGAAAATCTATTATGTAATTTCATTGCCTAGAGACCCAGGAATTCCCAAATCCTGTCTTCCTCCTACCACATCTCTTTCCTGTAAGGTCTTGAAGGAAAATAAATACCTGTGGAAAATGAAATGGCAAATGTGAAATAAAATAGCACTTTAGTGTTTATTGTGATTGTGCCTTTGTGCCCAGAGCAAAACCTCTGATAAACTGAGTTTATGGGCCTTCCTCCTCATACCAATTTCAAATCAATTCTTAAAATCAAATTACCTTGTAAGCAATTGTACCATGTAGAAGGCTTGAGAGGATGATCTTACCTATAAAAAAAAGCCCACCTTGGGAGTGTGACCTCCTCTCCAGTCAAGGTGGAGCATGGCCTGGGTCATTTTCCCACCCTGTTCTTGGAAGTGAAAGCAACAGCTTATATAGAAGTCCTTTCTGAGTGAGGCACTCCTGCCCTCTGCCCTCCCCCTCCCCTTCTTGTTACCCCCACCCTCTCCCATCCTTTCCATTCTTCACCCCCGCCTGGTCCATTCCTCCCCTTTCCCCATTCTTCTCTCAACCCCTCTCCCCCCCACCTCTCTGCCTTCCTCCCCCATTCTCCTTTCCCTTCCTCCTCCTCCCCACCCTCTTCCCCTTATACTTTCCTCCCATTCCCTTACTCTTCTCTCCTCCTCACTCCACTCACCTCATTCTCCCCTCTCCCTCTCCACTTTCTCTTATCCCACCTTCCTCCATTTCCCCCCCGCTCCCATCTCCCCTTGTCTTCTTTCTCCCTGGTCTTGTTTCTTCCCCAGTCCCATTCTCTGCCTCTCCCCCCCCCCCCCCCCCCCCACTCACTCTAAAAAATCAGTGGAATTTCCAGGGAAATGTAGAACAATGTTATAATAGTTATATTTTAAAAATCCATTTTCCTCAGTATTTTCCACTTTTTCTATAATAAGCACTACCTTTTATAATCAGGAAATAATGTTAGATTTTTTACAGCATGATACACTTTATTTGACATTTATTTATTTTAGGTTGCAATAGAAGTACATGAAAATATCAAATGATGTAAAGTGATCATTTTCAGTGAAAGGCAAAGTAGAACATATTACAAATGTTGTTAGTAACTTTACAATTACACAGCATAAAATGAAGAAACTTTTTAAAATACTATGTCATATTAATACCTCAGTGGTAAACAATTACTTCATTATGATTAAATTTATAGAACACTCATAAATAAAATCATAGTCATATATATAGTCTGTATGGACATTCTTAAATGTATGCTAATTTTTGCAAGCAAATTTCACAATGCACTGTTCTAGTTAATATAAGTACTGTATTTCTATAGCAAAATAATGAAGGCACAGCTAGTGCAAGCAGATTTAAATCCTTAGACTTCTGGGCTGGAAAAAATAACAACACCTGCATTGGTACTTCAGGAACATTGTTTTGTTCAAGCAAATATTTGTCTCAGTTAATTCTGACAGTTTTCACAGATACAGTCTAGTAGGAACATGACAAAAGGACTTCACAAAAATAAAAACTCTGTAGCACCAAATTGACATGCTTTAAATAAGTGACAGCAGTTTACAAGTTTTGGGGAATATCACACAGCAACAGGCTATATAAAATAAAGTGATACTTAGACACTGTAAGATACTTTTTTAGACTACTAAGAAAATACAAAAACACAAGACTGTAAAGAACACTAGTAATGAGGTGATAGAGCAGGTTTCACTTCTTCTTGAACTTTGAGATCTTGAAAATTCTTTTAGGCAGCCTCTTTATTTTCGGTATTTTCTGTTTCCATAATCTTTACCATTGTAATAGGCACGCTTGACTTCTCCTGTAAAGTAATAGATTGATTTCAGAATGACATTATCATGTAAAATTTGACCAATTTCAAAGTCTTCATCAAGGATAGCATCTTGTCGTGGCTCCAGCTTTCCAATCTTAGGAATCTCAGGAGGGCTGAAGAAATTGAAGAATGATGAGTTAGGAACCACTCTTGGCTTGAATTCAGTTTCTCCAGTGGCAGTTGTGCGACTGTAGGTCGTTGTCAAGGTAACATCCTTTCCTCTTCTCCAATCTATCTTACAGCCTTTGCAATCATAGATTTCCCATCCCCAAGTGAAAAAGGGATCATTGTAATCTGGCTTTGACTTTATGATATATGTCTTGGTCAGCACCTCATTTCTGAAGTATGGATTGGGCAGAAAATAAAAATTAAATGTGTAACTTATCGGCTGGCCACGTTTTGAGAACTTCAGGCTGATATCTGACAAGAACTTCAGTATGGGCTCATCATACTTCTGAATCAAGGGCCCGAGCTTGTCAACATTCTTTAAAACAGTCAGCCAATAGTTGGGGATGCCTTTAGGTTCTTCTTTCTTAGGCTTTCCCTTACGAGCTCGTTTCAGATTCACTCTTTCTTTAGGCCTGACCTCATGAACTCTTTTAGGAGCCTCCTTTACTGCAGCCCTCTCCTTAGCCTCTGCTGCTTTAGGCTGTTCTTTTTCTTCTGCCTTTGCCTGGGGGACTTCTTTAGGCTCTTCATTTACTTCAGTCTTTGCCTCCAGAAGATCTTTCGGTTGGGCTTTTTCTTCAGCCTTTGCCTCAGGAATTTCTTTAGGAACCTCCGTTTCTTCAGCCTTTACCTCGTTTTTTTCTTTAGGATCCTCTTCTTCCTCACCCTCTAAGGCAGGCATTTCACTAGGGCTGTCGTCCTGCACCTCTTCATCACTGCTGAACACCTCATCATCTGAATTCCATTCACATTCTTCTATTGTGGGCTCATATTCTGCATTTATGATTTGAGATCGCCGATCATATAGAGGCTTATTGAGATCGGCATATTTTCTTTCAAGACCATGAATTGCCTTTAAGAATAGGGCGTCTACCTTGTCACATTCATCTTGAATGTTTCTGAGCGCCTGCACACGATTTCGAACCGCCTGTGGCAGCTGATCCACAAAACTGTTACCCGATGGAGCCCACCGCGCCCTTCTAGAAGGCTCAGGTACCCTCCTCTTTCCATAGAAGCGGCTGAGACTACTGCTGCCGCTGGTGCTGCTGCTGGTGGTGGTGCTACTGCTGCTGCTGCTGCTGCTGCTGCTGCTACTGCTGCTGCTGCTACTGCTGCTGCTGCTGCTACTGCTGCTACCAGTGCTGCCGCTAGAGCTACTGCTGTCAGATTCTTCCCCGGAATCACTGGACACGCTAGCCTTCACCTCTTCAGCGACCCCCTGGGCGGCAGGTTCCGAGACCATGTTAAGATCCGCTTCTGCCATTTTGCAAGCCTGCAACCCTCTTAAGGTGACAACTACCGCTGAAACCGCGCGCCCAGAGAAGGGCAGAAAATGACTCACGGATGCTTGGCTGGCGGA